GAAGGGTTTCTGTTCTGTCTGTCTCTGTCTCTGTCTCTGAATCTGAATCTATAATAAACTATTCCATGTGAACAACAGGCATTCCCTTTGACGAGAGCGGATTGGTAGAGACGTAGGTAGGAGTCACAGTGGCGACCTACAGTCCTGATCATAGATCCCACCCTTATAATGGTATGACACACCGTAACGGGCTGGGGCTTGACACACCGTAATGTGCTGATATAAAATAAAATGATGTCATTCACAGTGATAGTTGGGGGTCCTCTCTGCCCTCAGTAGATATCTATCATAACGGTTTTGCGCGAAGAAATGGTAAAAGATGTAAACATGCAGTTATTTCTTATATTGTGTTTCTTTGTCAATTTACATTATTATTTAAGTTAATTTTTAACTGAAAATATGATTTTGCCTATCTAAGTGGATTATTGCTCTGTTTGATATGTTCAAATGATTTTTCCTAAAGAATATATATTTTTTAAATATTTAAGTCTACCCCACACTGCAATGCATCTCCAATGCATGTCATTGGGCAAGAATGTTCATTTGAAGGTTATTAACTCTTTAAAGCTTAGTAGTATAGTTTAAATATTATTTTCTTATTGAGTTTCATAGAGCTCATCATTTTTATGTTGGGACCTCTCAAATGATGATTGCGATGAGTTACATGCAGTGTTGTCCCTCAAAGCTTACCTCGATCCTTCTTTGGATCCTCAAAGTATTTACGAGTGCTTATTTTGTCCGTGCTCTGATGAAAAATATTTTGTAATTAAATAACTTTTGTGTATATCTATTTGATGACCGCTTATTAGTCTTGGTTGTATAATTATTAGTCTTGGTTGTATAAACACTTATCCTATATTTTAGTTGTAAGGGATTTATTTCTGCTACATATATTTTTCTATTATGCTCGTATCTATTTCTATTATTAGGCACCTTTATCACTAAAGTATATGAGATGTTATAATTGGTATCAGAGCAAATTCTCAAAAAGTCACTTACATTAGACTCTATAGATAGAATTAGAAGTCCTAAAAAATTCTTAGAGTTAGGAATAACTTTCTTGTCAATCACTTGTTGTTTCTTATGTGTAGATTGAATGACTCATAAAAGGCCATTTGTAGACCACACTGAGACCTAAAATGCCCCAATTTAGGTTAAGTTTATAAAATTCTTTCAAGCTATTCAAAGCCTGACCACTGCAGTGGGGAACAATCAAGCCCAACGAGACCAAACCCCTCCTACGCATAACTTCGTCCCATAGATATGACCATTATCAATATTTTTTAGTTCCCAAGGCTAAACCATCCTTATTTCAATGGTAGACCCGATCATTTGGCTGCAGAAGTTTGGATTCTGCATATCAAGAAACTCTTCTCCATCTTGAACCTCTATAAGACATAGAAGGTCCCTCTCGCTATCTTTATATTCACAGGTGAAGCCGAGCATTGATGGCGACTGAAAAAGGATGTCTTGCTGATCTATCACTTGGACCCACTTCATGACTGTTTTTCTAGAGAAATTTGTTTCAATATATGTTTGGGAGAAGGAGAAGGAGAAGCTCCAGGACCTGCATCAAGGAAACCTGACTGTCAACTAGTACATTGCCAGGTTTGTCCAGTTATCTCGATTCGCTCCCATATTAGTTGCTATAGAGAGTCGAAAGGCTCAAAAATTTCTCAAGGGTCAGAGCGGACATGTTCGATCACATTGCAATCCTGAAGACTAACACCTATGCAGAGGCCCTTGAGCACGCCCAAACAGCCAAAGGACTTATTGCAACACTATTGCATCTCCCATTTCTGTGTTCAATAGCAATAGCAGCATCAGCAATAGAAAAGGATGGCTGCTGG